ATGACGTTATTACCCAAATATATATATAGCATGATAAATTCACACACGGTGATCACAAACATTCGAATTTATGCTAGAAGCTGGTGATCACACGCGGCCTCACAAGATCTTTGGGTCTGGAAACTAATGTGAGAACTATACCGTACTAGGAAGATGCCAAGAGGAAAAATTTTGCAACATACCAAGACCTTTGGGTAAGATACATTGTATTATGTATGCTTGTATTACATTGCACAACATGAGACTCAAAGACGAAGGTCATGCAATATGCCAGTAGATACATCGCAAGAATAGGCAAATTATAGGTTGAGATGTTACGGAACCAACAAGAGTTAAAAGATTATTGCTCGCTCCATTGTTAATTGAATAAAGAATGTGTGGTATTATATTATTTGAGTGTTAATTAGTATCCTATCATCATCATCATCCAAATGATTCCCATCTATCATAATCCGCCCAGGGTTCGTAGCAGCATTATTGATGATTTATTACTAAACACCATTTTAAAGATTGGAGTACTTCACAAATTCAAATTATTATATTCCCATTTGTTTTACAACGAAAAACACTCAGCCGCCCGCCAATCTACCTAGCTCACCTCATCCTACACTCTAGATCGAGATTGATCATAAAAATAAAAGTAAAACAATGTGAATTATTTCGGGTTTATATATATACTCTATCTCCGTCTCAAATTAGATTATAATTTTTCGTTTACAAAGTAAAATCTTGTACTCATATTTTAAAATTAATTTATGTAAAATTTGGTATGAGAATCATTAATAAAATTTACTCATAAAATATTACATCGAAAGTTCTACAAAAGAAGATGTAGCAATTAATTAATGCAATACAATAATGCCTTCCATTTTTTAAAAATCAATGTGACATTACACAAAAAAAATATCTCCACCAAAAATTCAAATAATTAATGAAAGAACTAGTATTTGTATATATTTCACTTTTATTTTCTTTTGTTTTAAGTTTAAATAGTTCATTTTTCTACTTGAACATTTTTTTTGTGTTGGGGGGGGGATTAAATTATCTTTTATTGGGAGTAATATTAATTCTTAGGGTACTTTTAATGAATCAATTAAATTAAATTAAATTGATACAATAGGCTCTCAACTCGTTAAAAAAATTCTTCATCTTCCGATGTCAATTACATATTTACCCCCCCTAATCATTATTAACTAAGCTATGTTAAATACTTTAGTCCGTAGAAGTCAAAGACACAAATATTTTAAGAGATATAAAAAAAAAAGGCATTACTAATTTTAGTTGTGAGGTGTCACGGCCTAGCAATCCTCCAAGGGACCTTCAATTCAACCACTTGCTGCATGCCCACACTGCCCTTTTCATTCACTAATTGCTTCTCCGCGTCATCCCTTACGTAGACATGACTATTTTTTCATCCACATTCATTAAAAAATTCAAGGTTTTGTTTAATAATCTGCTTATAGTTAGACATTTTGGACTTAGAACTTCTGTACTTTGTTGCTTAGCAGGTTTAATTATTACGTGCGTGTCGAATATGGAGTTTTCCTAACTTCTTTTTTTTTTAAAATTATTATTCATCATTCATAAAATGTACTCCATTTGATAGTCTTCCTTAAAGACATATAAATCGTATGCATTAAAATGTTGGATCTAATCAATTATCTAGTTTAGTTCAAGATATATAAGTCTATTATGCTTCTCAAAGTTAATTTCAATGTGTGACTCTTACAATCTTCTTCAAATGTAGGATCAGGTCATTTTGTATCAAGTTGGTTAGCGACTTGTAAATACATGAACGTTCTTTACATGTGAAACAAATAGTAGAAATGTAATACTTCTTCTTCCATTCCTTTAAACTCTTCTCATTTTGACTTTGGGCCAAAACAAAGAAAGTATAATTTTAGTTGATTTTTTCAATTTTTCCCCCTGATGTAATATGTAAAAGTAAGATGTGATAGTTTGGTTATTTCGTAAAAAAGTATGAAGTGATAGACATGGTATGAAAAAGTAGGGGTAAAAGTGGTCTTTAATAGAAAAAGGAAGTGTCTTAGAAAGTTAGAAAAAAACAAAAGTGGAAGAGTTTTATGGAACAGAAGAAGTATAATTACAATGACTAAATGAACATTGACAACATGCTGATGAGAATGGACATCTAAATGAACCATCGAGTTAAATAGACCACATGTTGTAAGGTGTGAAATTCCATTCGGAAAAGTCATACTCTACACGTGCCGAAAATCCCTCCTTTCTTTCTCTAATTTCTTGTCTCACAAAGTCCTTATTCCAATAAAAAAAACTATTTTTACCCCTACTAATTCTTACCATATTTATCACATCATATCTTTTTATTTATAATATATCCATCGTATCCTACTTTTAGCCATCACAATACGGGTATTTCTGGAAAATAAATACAAAAATATTTCTTCTTTAAATTTCTCAAAAATCAAAATGGGAACATCTTTAGACGGGACATTGGTTGTCGTGTTCGCCGTAGGTCCAGCAGCTGCCAGGATGGTCCAACAGTTGTCGGTGCTGGCTTCCCGGCAGTTTGGCTGCCTTGGTGACCACGTCCTCCCCTTCACTGGAAAGAATTCTGACCACGTCTTCGTTTTGAGTTTGGAAATCCAAGAATAATATGACATCGGTCAACAATGTGACCTTATTTTCCACAATGAGCACACTTGTATGTATTTGGCATAACACGAGGAGCGGCAAACGCCATGGCATAGGTGTGATCATCACGAGCACACACCACACGGCGATGACGTTCTTCTTGAGTTATCAAATAGAAGGCTTTGTTCAACTCAACTAGGTGGTGTGTATTAAGAATTTGTCCATGAATTGTGCCAAAATGTTCATCATCAAGACCCAAACGGACCCTTAATGTGCAATATGGTCATATATATTTTTCCACATAGTCCGTAAGGGATTTGATTATAGAGTACTTTTTTAGAATCGAAGGAATAGGAATGTAATATTTTAGAATAGTGAACTAAATATGAAAAATTTCTATTATAAAGAAACATTTATGAAATTTAATGTTATTTTATGCTTTTTAAAGTTAAAAGAGTAACCCAAGAACGTTTTGGGCCAATGCATCATTGGGTTTAAATGCACCCAACCAGCCCAGGAATGTTATGCGAATGGACTATGGTACGACACACTCCGTATTAAATGTCTGCCCAAATTATTGGACAAATAATTGCTTAGTTTTCTTCCGAACAGGTTAATTAGTTGACGGAGGTTTGCAATAAAGTCAGACTATAATTTCTGAAAAACAAAAGTCTACTTTGACAAAAATGGACACTAGCAACTGTTTTATCCACCATTTAAAATTTGAAATATATAATTCTGCATTTTCACCATTTTAAATTAAGAGAATGGCTGAAATGCTAGCTATATTAATAGGATTTCATTTTTTATTTTTATTGCAAGTTTCTTATTTAATTTTTGGCCATTGGATACATATTTAAGCAAGAGTGTCGTTACTGACTTATCAAATTCATTTTAGACTCCGCTTGGTACACGAAATTCAAACTTTGAAATTGAGGACAACAATTTTAATTTTGCTGTTTGGTAGCAAAAAATGTGTGGATTTAGAATTGATAGTGCCAAAAGGGAAATTGAGTTGGAGAATTCAATTCTATAGAATTTTAACTCCCAATTCAATTCCAATTCTATGTATCAAACAGACCCTTAATTGTACCCAAGTAAAATTTGATAAACATGTTTTATTTTGCGGTTGGGAAAAAATTTCAAAGTTAAATGAATTCAGACAAATTGAATGAGCTAACATATATATATATATATATATACATATATATATATATATATATATATATATATATATATATATATATATATATATATATATATATATATATATATATATATAGCAGCACTACACGTATTAATTGTGTTTCCAGAATCGAAACCCTCTGTTGAAATATTAGAATAATAATATTGCTCCTTTAATTATGGGGTACATGATAGAGTATATATAAAAGAGACTCCTAATACAACTAGGAATAGAGAATAGAGACTAACTAAAATACAACTTCTACCATAACTAGGAATACTTAATATTATTGTCTAACATCCCCCACAAGCTGAAGCAAGAGGAAGCTTGGACACTAGCCGAAAACTGGAAATTTTGAGAAGAGAGAAGTCTGACGTGTGCCGGTGGCTGCTGACGTCGTTGGAGAAGAGAGAAGTCTGACGTGCGCTTGTAGCTGTTTACATCGAATAAGAATAGAAAATGCTACTTGAGGTGCCTGTTTGACTGAAGATCTTTGACATTTTTTGTCTTTTTCTTGGATCCGGGCAATGCCCTATTTCCTTCTTGAAGGGGTGAGTTGTAGAGGTCTTATTTCCTCTTTCACTACTTCCCCGCTTTGCTTTTGTGCTGATTTACTTTGGATTTTTATTGGTTTAATAAAAGAGAAAAAGAAGGGAGGTTGATGATTAGAATGAGTGATTTTAGAGAGAAAAAGTAAGTTAAGAATTGGTGATAGGAAAAAAAATTTGGGTATGAGATTTTGATATGGTGGATTGGAGAGAAACAATAATCATTTTTTTTTCTTTTTTTTAGAAGATAGGATGATCTGAGAGAGATTGTAAGGAGTTGAGTTTTTTTTGAAGAACCATGGAGATGACAAGAGAGAAGTTCCTCCTTTGATTGTTTTTTTTGTGTGATTTTAACAGATTTTTTTTCTTTCTTTTTTAATGGAGAAGTTGATTTGAGGATAAAAAAGAAAAAGAAAATAAAGGTGAATAGGGTGGAGCCGCCGTCGCCGGAATTACCGGCGGCAGCGGTGGGAGCAAAGAACCTTTTTTTTAGGTCACCAAGAACGGTGACTCTGATACCATATTGAATATTAAAATTTCAATCACCAATTCTTAACCTATTTTTTTCTCTCTAAAATCACTCATTCTAATCATCAACGTCCCTTCTCTTTCTCTTATATTGAACCAATAAAAATCCAAAGTAAATCAGCACAAAAGCAAAGCCAAGAGGGGAAGTAGTGAAAGAGGAAATAAGACCTCTACAACTCACCCCTTCAAGAAGGAAATAGGGCATTGCCCGATCCAAGAAAAAGACAAAAAATGTCAAGAATCTTCAATCAAACAGGCACCTCCAGTAGCCTTCTCTATTATTCTTCGACGTCAGCAGCTACAAGCGCACGTCAACCTTCTCTCTTCTTCTTCGACGTCAGCAGCTACCAGCGCACGTCAATTTCTCTTTTCTTCAACGATGTCAGCAGCTAACAGTGCATGTCAGAATTCTCTCTTCTCCAACGACGTCAGCAGCCACCGGCGCACGTCAGACTTCTCTCTTCTCCAACGACGTCAGCAGCCACCGGCGCATGTCAAATTTCTCTCCATTCAAAGTTTCCAGTTTCAAGCTAGTGTCCAAGCTTCCTCTTGCTTCAGCCTGAGTTCAGCTTGAGGGGGGATGTTAGACAATAATAATAGTATTACTTGTGGTAGTATTGGTTGTGGTAGTGTTTCATTATTAGTCAGCTTCCTAATCCTATTTGTGGTAGATGTTGTATGTTAGTTAGTTTCTATTCTCTATTCCTAGTTGTATTAAGAGTCTCTTCTATATATACTCTATCATGTACCCCATAATTAAAGGAGCAATATTATTATTCTAATATTTCAACATGGTATCAGAGCTTTTTTTTCTTTTTTTTCATTTGAATGAAGAAGTTGATTTAAGGATAAAGAAGAAAAAGAAAATAGAGGTGAATAGGGTGGAGCCGCCGTCGCCGGAATTACCGGCGGCGGCGGCGGGAGCAAAGAACTCTTTTAGGTCACCAAGAGCGGTGGCTCCGATACCATGTTGAAATATTAGAAATAATAATATTGCTCTCTGAATTATGGAATACATGATAGAGGTTGTATATATAGGAGAGACTCCTAACACAACTAAGAATAGATAATGGAAACCAACTAACACACAACATCTACCATAACTAGTAATACTTAATATTATTGTCTAACATCCTCCCTCAAGCTGAACTCTGGCTGAAGCAAGAGGAAGTTTGAACACTAGCTCTAAGCTGGAAACTTTGAGAAGAGATAAGTTTGACATGCGCCGGTGGCTGCTGACGCCATTGGAGAAGAAAGAAGTCTGACAAAAGAGCAAAATCTCTTTAATAATAAATCATTGAAATATTAGAATAATAATATTGCTCCTTTAATTATGGGGTACATGATAGAGTATATATAGAAGAGACTCCTAATACAACTAGGAATAGAGAATAGAGACTAACTAAAATACAACTTCTACCATAACTAGGAATACTTAATATTATTGTCTAACACCCTCAGCTCGCTCGGTTCTTGAATTGGAACCATGACTGGCGGGGTAAGAGAACCGGTATTGGAACCTCTCCGGTCAATACTGGTAGCGGGGGGAGGGAATGCGTACCAGAACCGGCCAGTTCTTGCAAAAGGAAAACTCTGAGCAATTTTATTAATTTTTTAAAATTCATTTTACAAATTTGCTAGAAAATCGTGGTGAGACACCCAAATCAAAATTGGAATGAATGTTGTATGCTGCTTTTTTAGACATGTCTTTAAAACCTAAAACTTTGCCACATATTTCTACATGATAAAAGAAATTAAATACTCCCTATTTGTGCCAAAATTTATGATTTTTTATTTTTTATTTTTTATATGATTTTTTATTCATTTTTAACCAGTGGTTAGATGGAATTTGGGAGACATGCAGCACAAAGCACATGCATGCACAAGTCTGTGGGGACCAAAGATTAGTAGGTCTCTTTCCCCTGCCTTTTTTATTTTTTAGTCACTGATTTACCATTCCTATAAATGCCCACACAAAATATAATTAATCAGCTTCCATTGTCTTTCAATGGCGAAGCACAATAGTAATTCATCTCTTCTTTTACTCTTCTCTCTTCTTCTTCTTCTTCTTCTTAGCTCTGCCGCAGCAAGGACCCTCTTAACTTCAGAAGGCGACTTTGCCGCGGAGAGCTGTGGCAGTTGTGGTGGCTCCGGTGATGATGACGATAATGGTGGTTTCGGAGGAGATAATGGATATGGGGGTGATTATGATGCCGGTAGGGGAAATGGAGGGAATGGAGGTGGCGGTGGAGGAGGGGGGTATGGCGGAGGATATGGGAGTGGTGGTGGTCGAGGAGGCGCGGGGTACGGCGGTGGGTATGGAGGAGGGGGTGGTGGCGGCAGCGGTGGGGGTG